ATGTAAACAGGGAAATTCCAGTTATCCGCATTTCTCTCCTGATGATCAGTGTGCCCTGATGATCTGTGTAGCCCCAGCAGCACCACCTGTCAGTGTCCATCAGTGCCAGCTCTGTGCTCATCCATGCCACCTGCCAGTGCCCATCAATGCCACATATCAGTGCCCATCTGAGCTGCCTTTCAGTGCCAGTCAGTGCAACCTATCAATGCCAGTCAGTGCCACCTATCAGTGCCAGTCAGTGCCACCTATCAGTGCCAGTCAGTGCCCGTCAGTGCTGCCTATCAGTGCCGCCTAACAGTGCCAGTCAGTGCCACCTAACAGTGCCACCTATCAGTGACATATATGAGTGCTGCCTTTCAGTGCCCATCAGTGATGCCTGTCAATGCCCACAAGTGCCACCTACCAGTGCCCATCAGTGCCACCTATCAGTGTCCATCAGTGCAGCCTATCAGTGCCCATCAGTGCAGCCATCAGTGCCCATCAGTGCAGCCTATCAGTGCCCATCACTGCAGCCTCATTAGCGCACATCAGTGAAGGAGAAAAATCACTTATTTACAAAAATTATTAACAAAAACGAAGAAAAAACGTTTTTTCTTTCAAAATTTTCAGTGGCTTTTTGTTTGTTTAAGAAAAAATTAAAAAACCCAGAGGTGATTAAATACCACCAAAATAAAGCTCTATCTGTCTCAAAAAAATGATAAAAATTTCATATGGGTACAGTGTTGCATGACCGCGCAATTGTCATTCAAAGTGTGACAGCGCTGAAAGCTGTAAATTGGCCTGGGCAGGAAGGGGTATAAGTACTGTGTAGGCTAGTGGTAAAAGGCATATTACTTTACAGGGACATGATTACAAAAAATCGTAAATGCATTGAAAACCAATTAATCCGTTCATATTGCAAAAACAATTTGTAAACCGAGGCACTATTTTCAATGGATTTTCATTTGTAAACCAAAAATGAAGTTAACGAGGCCTTCATAAACCAGGGTATGCCTGTATATGATGGAGAAAAAAAAAGTTATACAAGCTTAAAATGGAGAAAGTAGATTTTCACAGTAGATTTTAGTTCAAACTGGTTTTGTTTTAAGCCACAATCCAAAGGTCAGAGAAAAACTTACTGAAGAAAGCCAGCATGAAGATTCCATCATTTCCCACTCTTAACTGGTCAGCGTCGCTGAAGTCATCCCGTGGAGGATATTCTTCTTCCTGAAAGATGAAATAAAACAAATTATGTATACAAATGCACGTTCCTTTCTAACACAAACTAATCAAAAATAAAGCTATGCATTTCTCCTGTTAAATTTCCTTGATAATGAGATGAAAATGCAGTAGCACATTTGCAATGCACAGTATTTAGAAGGAAACAAGGTTCTTGGATCTTCAATAATAGCAATTTAACATACTGAAGAGGTGACAGCGAGATGTGTGAAATTCAATAGTAAGGTGAGGCAGAGCCCGAGAATGCTGGTATAGTGCTCACTATCGTATGTGAGAGATATTCATGAAACAAGAAATCCATACATGATTAAAGCTTGCCTATGCCCACACATTACTGAAATATCAGTTTAATGTAAACAGACGCCTTCCAAACAGAACTCCAGTATTTTGAAAAACCCCCTTCCCCAAACCAGTGTTTTAAATATTCCTCTAAGGGCCCTTTTACACTGCTCTATTGGGAAAAAAAAAACATGAAAAACACTTTTAGAGCTCTGGGGGCACTCTGCGGAGCGAGGAGCCAGAAGAGCCGGCAGGGAACCCAAGAACAGGAGGATCATGCTCCTCTTTGCAAAACCATTGCATGGAGTAGGTAAGTGTGACATGTTTGTTATTTTTAAAACAAAAAAATGTGAACCTTTAGTATCACGTTAAACCAGGGGTTCTTATCCTTGGAGCATCCTGTGTACTTTTGAATTTGCATGGCTCTGCTTGCACAGACCTGCTTGTAATTTGTGCATAAAAATTCTGTAAGTCCTATCTGTCACCGTGGAAAAGAGACTCGTAGATCTGATTAAAGCACAAATACAGTGATGTCACTGTACCTGTAGTCCACTGATATTTCCTAAAGCTTTGTAACAAAGTGTCCATACCTTGTTACTGATCAGAGCTGGAGAAGTACTCTTCAGGAACCTGAGCACTGCATCAGTAATCTAAAAATCATGGTTGCAGTGCTTTCCAGGCTCCATTGTCAAAAAATAATAAACTCACTGTTGCAGAATGCTAGGCGTAAGTGAGATATAATCTCAAAGAAGCCCTAGATCAGCCTTTGTCAACCAAGGTGACCGTTTTGGTGATGGGTCAGTGATGGTCTGGGAAGGCATATCCATGGAGGGTTGCACAGACCTCTACAGGATAGACCAGCCTTTCTCAACCAGGGTGCCTTGAGGTTTCTGCAGGGGTGCCTTGGCAAAATGTCTAAAAATTGCCTGAAACTTGTATACAAGCCAGCAGGTAGAACAAGCCTGCCTTTTAGTTACACAAAGCCACAGGTTCTCATTGTGCACCATTACGACCTTCTAGCCGCCAGTGTCCTGACACCCAATGACATCACCAGTTGATAAGGAGGATGTCAGCTGCCAGCACAGCATCCTAGTTTGACCCTCCCCTGCTCCTCTCGGTCAGTGCTGGGGTCACATTAGCTCAGTGATGGAGGAAAACTGAGGGAAAATAGAAACACTGGAATACTACTCAGTACTAGTGAGCAAACGTGTATGTGTTTTGGAAGAATCGATCACCTCCAATGTTGGGTGTCCTACATGTGTGGATGTTGCTGCATTATATACAACTAATAGAATAGTTTTTCACATTTAAGAATGGGGTGCTCTTTTAAAATTATGGACAGTCTAGGAGGCACCCCATTTTAGAATGGGGTGCCTCAAGACTGTCCATAATTTTAAAGGGTGCCTCAGGACTGTCCATAATTTTAAATGGTGCCTTGACTGAAAAAAGGTTAAGAAACATTGCTCTAGATAGCAGGAAAACCCCAAATAGACTTCATGGTCCTTCTCCACCTTATCCAAAATAAGAATGTTTTGGCTAGGCTTAGGGCTTGTTTATACCACAATCCATGTGTTCAGTGTGCAGTTCTGCATGCACGTTATTGAGTTACGTCTAGGGTTGCTTCTCACCAGATGTGGTGGAACTACATTGGGCGGCTATTCCAGCACAGTCCCAAGGCAAGACAAGGCAAAATGCTTTGTCTCCTGTGTGCCGCTTCACACCCCTGTCTTACAGAGGTGTGTGCTGAAAAAAATAGTGCATGGTAATCCACCACTTCGCACTGGACAACAACCAATTGAACTTTATAAAATGTTGGTGACATTTCAATAGAACTTGTAAAAAAAAAAAAAAAAAAAGAAAAAAAGTGAACAGTGTGGTGATCCTGCCGGACTGCACTTCACACCAGCCACTGCATTATAATAGACCCTCACTTGCATTTGCAGAGCATTCATGTATGTTTCAGTGCATTTAAATATGAAAAAAAAAATGCAGCATCCTGTACTTTTTTACACATGAAAGAACTGCAATAGTGTCAACTAGGAGCATTGAAATACATTATTTTTTTTCAAACACATTCACTCATTAGGTGAAATCTGTCTCTAAGAGATTCTGAAATCTTAAAGTGTCACTAAATCCACATTATAAAAAACTATCAATAAATGCTGTATTACATGCTGTTTCATACTCTCTCAGTCCCTATGGGATTCGTTTTCTGTATTCTGGAAAAAAAAACCTAGTTGATCCTGCTGTTCTCTATCTCCCCCTCTTGTCCAAGTCCTCAATTCACCTAGGGATTTTTGAGCTATAGGCAACTCTGCACATGCTCAGTTTTCAGTGAGTTCTATGCTGAACATTTCCTATCACACCTGGGCAGCCCATGTGACTATAGAGTCACACATGTGGGTGTATACACACTAGTAAATGACAACCCAATCCCTCCCTTCCTCCTCCATGCCCACTAAACAGATAAACACAACAGAGGGTGGGATATTACATATAGATTAACCACTCAAGTCTGGACACTTTTACCCCCATGCAGTCCAGGCCAAATTTCAGCTTTCAGCACTATCACGCTTTGAGTGAGAATTACTCGGTCATGCAACACTGTACCCATATGAAATTTTTATCCTTTTTTTTTTTTTTTTAGACAGATAGAGCTTTCTTTTGGTGGTATTTGATCACCACTGGGTTTTTTATTTTTTCCTATATAAATGAACAAATATCGAATACTTTGAAAAAATAATAATTTTTTTCTTAGTTTTTGTTATAATATTTTCCAAATAGATAATTTTTCTTCATAAATGTAGGCCAAAATGTATTCTGCTACATTTTTGGGGTAAAAATAACCCAAAACAGTTTACATTATTTAGTCTGTGTGAAAGCTTTAGAGTGTACAAACTATGGGATATATATTTGAAAACGGATCAGTTGAGATCCTAAAATGCCAGATGCTGGTATGGCACATGGCAGTGATCAGTACTCTGGTACGGCGGTAATCAGGACATTAGCATGAGGTATGGCGATAATCAGGACACTGGTATGGCCGTAGCCAGGATGCTCGTATGGGGTATGGCAGTGATCAGGGCACTGGTATGGTGTATGGTGGTGATCAGGGTGCTGGTATGGTGTATGGCGGTGATCAGGGCGCTGGTATGGAGTATGGCGGTGATCAGGATGCTGGTATGGTGTATGGCAATGACCGGAGCGCTGGTATGGTGTATGGTGGTGATCAGGGTGCTGGTATGGTGTATGGCGGTGATCAGGGTGCTGGTATGGAGTATGGCGGTGATCAGGGTGCTGGTATGGAGTATGGCGGTGATCAGGGTGCTGGTATGGAGTATGGCGGTGATCAGGGTGCTGGTATGGAGTATGGCGGTGATCAGGATGCTGGTATGGTGTATGGCAATGACCGGAGCGCTGGTATGGTGTATGATCAGGGCGCTGGTATGGTGTATGGCGGTGATCAGGATGGTATGGTGTATGGCGGTGATCAGGATGCTGGTATGGTGTATGGCGGTGATCAGGATGCTGGTATGGTGTATGGCGGTGATCAGGATGCTGGTATGGTGTATGGCGGTGATCAGGGTGCTGGTATGGTGTATGGCGGTGATCAGGGTGCTGGTATGGTGTATGGTGGTGATCAGGGCGCTGGTATGGTGTATGGCAATGACCAGAGCGCTGGTATGGTGTATGGAGGTGATCAGGGTGCTGGTATGGCATGTGGCAGTGAACAGGGTGTTGCTTTGGGGTATGGTGGTGATCAGGACACTGGCATGACAGTGATCAGGACATTGGTATGGTGAATGGGGGTGTACTGTGTGCAATAGGACATGTGACAGGGCCTCCCTGCATTACTTATTGTTATTGTGGGGCAGTGATCAGGGACACAGGGGCATTATACTGGGGCACTGGGGTTGTTGGCACTGCAGTGTGTGAGTGTACAAGCAGCCTGACAGTGATTTCACTTCTGTGGGTTTAGGAACACTTTATTTTTCTGACTAAAGTTCCACTTTAATTTACTCCACTTTTACATTTGGCGCATTCAATACGACACACTGTAAAAAGTGGTGCATGCTAGAACGACATGAATTTGGTGCACGAGTGGCTGTCAGAGCCAAAAGTGTCGCAAATGATTCATGAATTTGGCGCAATACATTAACAAGAGGGATTAACGGCAGAAAAGTGGCCCAGCAGGTTTAATGAATCCCCCCCCCCCACTGACTGCAGCTATGGGGATGACACTGGAAGATCTCTCCAGACTAACACAAAGCCCAATTCTCATTATAGCTCTTATTAATCAAGTCACTAGGATTCGGACTCAAGTTGATGGCATAGTAATATACAAAAATGTTTTGCCTTTGAATTCGATTTTAAACTGGCTGGGTTGTTTTACAAGGTGAGGGTTCACATATAAGGGTTGATTTACTAAAACTGCATGGTGCAAAATCTGGTGCAGCTCTGCATAGAAACCAATCAGCTTCCAGGATTTATTGCCAAGGCTTAATTGACAAAGCTGAAGTTAGAAGCTGATTGGCTACCATGAATAGCTGTGCCCGATTTTCCACTCCAGTTAATCAACCCCATACTGTTCTAATTTCAACACCACCAGCTTCACTTTCACCGAAATCGATTTGCTCATCTCCAGCTGCCAGCTTTAGGCATTTAAATTCTGACATCTAATTTTGACTTTCTTGAGCAGACTGGAAAATATATACCAATACATGAACTCCTTCTGTTTCTTTCTAGAAATGTACATGTCAGAATAAATGTTGGCCAGGCTTTTATGACTACTAGCTAGACAAATAACCATATTTCTGCATAAAGCAAGTTGTCGTTGTTGTCATCCCATGGCATTAGGGTTGCACCTCGTCCCTTTAAAACCGAACACATATTAATTACACAGGTTTTGAGGCTAATTTATTGCACATAAGGCACTCAGTTAGTTTAATTACCATCTTAACCGCTTCCCAACTGCCCTATAGCAGATTGACTGCTACAGGGCAGCACGGGGTGCGCAAAATCACGTGTATATATGTGATTTAACATTTTCGGGTAGGGGGTGGGCACACACTACCCGCGTCGCCATTCGTGGCTGCGGCTGTCAATCACCGGGTCCTGCCCGGTGATTACTCACTGGCGCACGGTGATTGCTGAGCATCTCTGACGGGGAGGAGAACTGTTTGTAAACAAAACAGTCCTCCTCCCTGTCAGCTCATGCACACTACTTTGGATGGCTGTTAAACAGTTAAACAGCACACATTTAACCCTTTGATCGCCCCTCATGTTAACACCTTGCTGCCCAGTGCCATTAGTACGTCAGTGCTTTTTTTTTTTAGTAAAACTAAAAAATAAATCCCAGTATATACCGCCATTTGAAAACGCTATAATGTAAACCAATTAATTTACACGTATTGGGATTTATTTTTTAGCAAAGACATGTCGCACAATACATTTTTGTGTAAATTTATGACGAAATTTGATTTTTTTTATTTTTTTACTGGACATACAAAAAGTAAAAAAAAATTTCTCAAAATTGTCAGTCTTTTTTTTTTATATAGCACAAAAATAAAAAAAATGCACAGGCAATCAAATACCACCAATAGAAAGCTCAATTCGTGGGGAAAAAAGGACGCACATTTCATTTGGGTGCAACGTTGTATGACCGTGCAATTATCAGTTAAAGTAACGCAGCGCCATAACGCAAAAAATGGGATGGTCAGGAAGGGGGGTAAATCCTCTGGAGGGCAAGTGGTTAATCAGCCACAGAACCTGTGTAATTAATATGTGTTCGAATGAGGTGGCAACCCTACATAGCATGTGTAAGCCCCTCTTTTACTTTTCTCACCATAGAGCAGAAAAACATCTAACAAGGGTGTGACTTAAAACCATATTAAATCTCAAACCAAACGTTTTGTATATCGCAGCTTATCAATCATTAGATGTGATAGCTTCATTAGTTTTCTTTTATGTTAGACTTTTTATCCCTCTGTTTTCAGCTGGTAACCTGGCCAGTAACACACCTCCTCTATTAGATTGCCCACACTCTGGATGAAAGAGCAAAGAGACACTTTTGGACAGCAGCATTGTCAGTCTGTGGAGAGGGTAGTGTTTGGTGTACTAGCAGATTTAGATACACTAACAAATTAAGACAAACTCCAGCTAACATGCGTTAACACCTTCGTGCCGGCGCCTCCCGGCCCTTTAAGAGTTTCAAGCAGGGAGACAGGGTGGGGTGTAGGGTCATGTGACCGCCATGATGCATCGTCACGGCGGTCACATGATCGGGAAAGGTCCCGATCGAAAGAGGAGATCGGGACCTTTCCGTGAGTACCAGACAGGTGTTCTGGGAGCTCGCAGGGCGCGCGCTGTCGGCACATATGTCCTTTTTTAATAGAACGCAAATGTGCGGCAGCTCGACGTTTAGGCCCAGATGCCGGGAGGCTGCACATTTGCGTTTGGCCGGCATGAAGAGGTTAAGCAGTTACAGCAACAGTTTTGTTCCTTTTGGGATAAAGATTTTATATAAATAAGCTGACAATTGAAAGCATCCCAGTCAGTAGTAAATGGTTTGTCTCCGCCCTCTGTTACATCTGCCGGACAGCATGTTCTGTTGAAAAAACAACAGACTTACTGGCTAGATCACTAGGCGTAAGCTGCAATATAATAATTTTTTTGCTATTGGGTTTAATACTGCTTTAAGTTCAAACCAAAACACGACAAACCACACAGTAAAAAAACACAACGTGAAGGAGCCATGACCATGTACATACAGTATTTGTTCTGGGAAGTGCTTGCTATAAATTGCCAACAAGTGGCTTTCACAGTTCAGCAACATGGCAAGCAAAGGATGGAGTCTAAATATGACAAAACGCCTCTGCGGTGAGAAAGAGCCTGTATGCGCTCAGCATTGACAGAATAATCACCGGAAATGGCAATGCACTCTTGTGCCTAGGTATGAGTGGGGATGATGAATGATTAATGGGCTGCAATTTTCCCAATATGAAATAATCTGGGCAAAATAGCTCAAGTAGGGTCGGGTGATCAAATTCATTACTTTAACAAAATGTAAGGGATTGTGTGGGAAAGGAACACTACAGAAAGCACAAAATTGTTCAAAGCTGCTTTGGCGTGAATACGGTGTGTTATTACCTATATTGTATGAACAAAGGCTAGGCTTGTGAAGTGCAAATCACAATACTTGTTTATTTTCAAGGGGCTCTACAGACAAGAAAAGCATTCGTAGTGCATGCAGAAGTGCGTGCCATTGTGTGAAGTACCTGTTAATGTGTTTTTATAAAGTCTCTTCTGCAGGCCGATGAGCATTTTGCCATAACTCGCCATGCTCATGAGAAGTGATGTACAGTCATGCACAATATGTCACAGAGAAGCAATCTAAAATAATGGGCGATAAACACAACAAGCTAACCCGCTGCTTTCATTTGCAGAGTGTATGTTCGGAGATTTTCCCACAGAATCCAAGCATAAAACACAATCTGGATGGGCAGACCATAGCTGGCAGAGAAACTATCCCATCTTCATTTTGTGGACTGCAGAAAAAATGATGCAATGTTCGCTTTTCACAAAACACACACAAACTACCGTATGTCCCCCCCTCCAAAAAAAAAAAAATTTAATATGATTCTAAAAGTTGTAATGATAAAACAAACAAACACACAAACATGTTATGCCTACCTGCTCTGTGCAATGGTATTGCACAAAGCAGCCCGATCCTCTTCTTTTTTGGGACCCCTGCCAGTGGTTCTGGCTCTTCCCCCCTGCCAAGTGCCCTCAATAGCAAGCCTCTTGCTATGGAAGCACTCAAGCAGGCTCGCTCCCAAGCCACGCTCCTGTTAATGGACATTGTCCATTTACACACGGAGTGTGGCTGGGCCCCATCCCCCTGCTTACTCTTCATTGGCTCACTGGCTGTGACTGACAGCAACAGGAGCCTATGGGGAGAGAAACCTGGGAGAGCTGCTGCTCTCATGCACATTGCTGGATTGAGATGGGGCTCAGGTAAGTATAAGGGGGGGGGGAGCTGCACACAGAAGGTTTTTTACCTACATAGATTGCATTAAAGAAGACTTCCAGCCGTTTTTGTGTTTATTAAAAGTCAGCAGCTACAAAAACTGTAGCTGCTGACTTAATAAACACACACTTACCTGTCCCAGAGTCTCACCCCCTTCTCTTCTCCACGATGCCGGCATCTCAACTGTGGGCACCAGGCTGTGACAGCTTGCGGCTTCACAGCCTGGTGCCCACTGCGCATGTGCGAGTCAAAAAATACGCCTCCTGATTGGTCTGGCAGTCTTCTGAGACCTGTGAAAGTTCCCAGGATACTGTGGGAGCAAGGAGGGGGCCAAACTTCCAGCTCAATTTGCTGCAGCAAAGTGACCCGGAAGTGGGAGCGGGTACCTGTTAAATCAAGGTACCAGCTCCCCCCTCCCCAAAAATGCCAAATATGGCAATGAGGGGGGAGGAGCCAAACCAGCACTTTTGGGTGGAGCTCTGCTTTAAGGTAAAAAAACATTCCTTTAGAACCACTTTAAGGCCTCATGCACACAGGACGCTTTAAAATCGCTCCTCCTCTTAGCAGCGTTTTGGCAGAAGAAACGCATGACTCTTATTAAAGTGTAACGCTTTTACACACATTTAGGCGCCTTTAAATGCAGGTATATGCTACGGCTACTAAAAGCTTCTACAAGTCTATGTGTGCATGGACACATAGGATAACATGGAGGGCCAAAATGAACACAAAAAGCCATCTTAAATATATACAGTGATCGCACGCCATATTGGCAACTGCCAAAATTACAGTTTAAAGTCTTAAAGTAGAGCGGTTTAACTTGTGGAAAAGGCTTTGCATTTTTGATCATCCAGGTC